TTTCTGCTGCATTGTAAGGTTCAATTAAATGTTTTAGATTGATTTTTGCTATTACTGAACTTTGATCACTATTTGTGTAAACATCTATCTCTTGTATTTTTGTATCGAATAGTCTATCTGCTAGTTCTTCTGTAATCCAAATTTGATCAATTCTTGATTCTGAACCTTTATCTGACCATAAGAATTCTTTTTTTTCTGTATTTACTAGTCTGTAAGCATCTCTAAAGTCTTGTCTTGTTAGCCACTTGAGTAATGGATCTTGCTTAATTGTTTTTGCTTTTGAACTTTTTAACCTATCTAATTCTAAATCAACTATATTATTAAAGTCTCTCATTACAATTATTTGTGTTCTTTGTCAGCATTTGATATATCTTTCAATTATTGTTTTTTGAATTTTCTTTCTTTCTTCTTTGTTATTTGATGACACATAGAGCATTATAATCATTATTTCAGTTTGTTTAAACATAAAGTTGGCTATAATTATATATTCATTTATTTTATTTATTCTTTCTAAATGTTTTTCTTATTGTTTGTTTATAAGTATGTTTACATCAGACTCTTTTTTTTGTTCAGATTTGCATTTATTCAAAAACCCCTATATTCACTCTGATTGTTTAACATAAAAAACCCTTCTTTGCCTAAGATATTTGTTTCTGTTATATCAATTATATCTATTTTGTTATCAATTAACCATTCTTGTAGAATCTTTATTTTTTAGTTGTTTCTTTTGAGACCATTAATATTGTGTATTGCTATATTTAAGTTAATTTTGTCTTTTGTATAGATTTTCTTTATTAGCATTTGTCTTTTTATTTTATATTGTTGATTATTTGTTCTGTTTATATCTTTGACTTTTCTTTTTTGATCTCTAAAAGTCCTTTTGATATTTCTATTAAATATTTTCTCTTTAGCTTTTAAATTATTATTTAGTTGGTATAGATGCTGTTTTGTATTTGCTTCTGAGTTAGTATTTGCTATTAGTGAAGAGGATCTTGCTTCTATACTTTGGTTTTTTAATTCAACTATGATGCCTTTCAAAAGTAATTTATTTCTTCTTTACTTATACTTGCATTATTGCAAATATGATGTGTTTTCAGTCTATCTAATCTTAATAGTATTTTTTGTAGTAATTCTTGTATTTGGTCCAAAATATTATTTTCTTTTGCTTAATTAGGCTGACTTATAAGAGTGTTATTCTCTTTCTCACTCTTTGTATTCTTAGTTTTTATATTGCTTCTAAATTTTTCTTCATTTATATCAACCTTAAGATCTTCAATATTTCTGTACTTTTGTTTGTCTTCTTTGAAATTTTTATTTTTCACTCTTGCTTCATGCCAAAAAATTTGATAATTGTTGTATCTTATTGGTTTTGATTTTGCTATATCTATTTCTTCTTTGGATGCAAATATAATTGTTATTAACCTTCTCTGATTATCATTTCTATTTGATAGTATATATACAGACTTTGCTTCTTTGCTTTTTAAACAGTGTAAAAGCAACACCTCTGATGCATTTGCTAGAAGGTCTCTTAACTTTGTTGTAAACTGACTTTGGTAATCATGTTAATTATAGTCCTTATTACCTTTGGTTACTCTTGCTAATTTGTGGATTCCGATTGGTAATAACTATGGGATGTTCTTCTCTATAAGACAGTCTGTCCTAATTACTGCCAGAGCTTTAAACTTAGATCTTTTGATTTGAATTACTTGTGTCTTCCTAATGTTTTTGCATATATGTTTTATTTCTTCTGAGTTAATATTTGCTGGCAGATCCCAAATTGTGAAGTAGTTATATTAGTCTGTATTATTTTTAATTACATTGGGTTCTTCTATTTTAATTGCTTCTATTAGGCTTGTTGGTTTTGTATGTTCTTTTTCCTTCTTTTTGCTATCTTTAAATTGTTGCTTAGCAATTTTCTTCTATTCTTTGTTCTCTTCTGAGATAAGTTTAAGCCAGTTGCCTTCTTTTTCTCCAATTCTGTCTATTTCTTGGTCTCTACTATATTTACAATCAAAATTGATCTCAACTCAATTATTGCCTTTTTTGAAAACTTTCTTTACTGTTTTAATGTAGTGGTTTTTCTCTACAATCCACTCAACATATTTGATTCTTTCTTCTTTTGAAACTCCTAGCAATGCATAGGCTGGCATATTTGTTTTAAAGAAGTTTTTTTTGTCACAAATTCTGTTTCTTGGTGACCATTGGCTATGTTTGATTGTATCCAAGAATATTGTTTCTGCATTATTATTATCTTCTTTTTTCACTTTCTATATTCTTTTATCAATGGTTTCAATATTTTTTATAATATTATAAAGCATGTTATTTACTGGTACTTCAACATCTTCTTTTAGCTTTTTACTCTTTTTAATACTTTTTTTGTTGTCTTCTAGAGCAGTTTCTGTTAGTTTTGAACTTGGGTTAGAGTCTTGATTAATTTTTTTTTCTGTGCTATTTTTTTTTTGCTGTTTCTTTTTACTAATTATAGGTTTTGTTTCTTTTACTTCTTTAACTCTAGATATTTCTTTTATTTCTGTTTTATCTTAAGTACTTTTTTCTTAACTTATATTTGATATATATTCTATAAAGCCTGAATATTGATTTATTATTCTAAGCTTTGTTACTTATTTATCTGTAATGCCTTCTTCTAACCATCCTAGTTTTGCAAGATGAAGGGCTTTCAAAATTTGACTATAGAGTAATATGTCATTAGGTATAATATGACCTAAATCACTTAATGCAAAATCTTTTACAATATACTCAATATTGCATAGGCTTTTTATGGATGTTGTTAGAATATGATCTAGAATTTTGCTATTAATATATCTATGGTTTTTGTCATCCAGCCTCCTGATGTAATCTATAATATCTGATTTTTGAATCTTATCTATCGATCTACTAGATTAGGTTGTTTTTTGTTTAGATAATTCATATGCACTTATTTGTTGTAATATTATTGATTGTTTTGCTAAATCCTAATTAAAATAGTAATTATCTAATTGGAAACATGTTTGGTTTGTTTGTTGTTATTGGTTTATATTATATAATTATGTGCTAAAATCTTCTGTTTTTCTGGGCTAACAACAAATTCCCAAAATTACAAAAATTCTCAAAAGTTTTGAAATTTTGTTAAAAAAAATCAAGAAATTTTGTATTTGTTGTTTGGAAAGTTTATTTTCTTTTGTATTCTAATAAAGCAATAATGGTTTTTGATACTAAGAGCTTTTCCTAATACTATTATAAGTGTTTGCTATACTACTTTCTGTTGTATTTTTAGTTTTGTAATTTTCAGTTTTTTCTAAATTAAAGATCAGCAAAAAGAGTTAATAATTAACAAAATATTATTGTTATAATATTGTTTATATATTATATAAGCAATTATATAAATTTTTACTGTTAGTAAGTTTTGAACTTACAACCTACTATTTGAAGATTAACAACTTATCCATTTCACTAAGTTGTTATACTTTTTAAAATGTATTATTATTAATTATGTTATTATAAAATTTTTATTATAATTTAATTTAAAATATTTATATTTAAAGCAAGATAGTAAAATAATTATTCTTTTTTTCTAACCTTATTTTAACAAATTATTCATATTTTTTATATTATAATTATATTAATTTTTTATAAGTCTTGGCAGTATCAATTTTTATTATTACTTTATTATATTAAAAACAATAGATTGTATTATACATATTTTTTAAATTAATTATAGTATTAGAAAATTTTTTTGAAGTTTACAAATAATCAGATTAGTATTATAGCCAATGTTTATAAAAAATTTGATTTTTTTAAGTATTTTAAAACGAAATAATAAGGGAGTAACAATCTAGTAAAATGATTAGGTTGTCAATTTTCCAAGTAGTAGGTTAGATGTTCAAATCCTATTGATAATAAAAAAATTAAATAATTACATATATAATATTCATATTATAGCAATTATTATTAATAATTGAATTAGAATACCTATAATAGCAATTATACCAATATGATTGACAAGTTATAAAACATCTGTATAAGTATAGCATTATACAAAAGAATACAAACTGACAATCAAGTAGTGTAAACACTAAATAAGTTCTTGTAGTTATATAAATCTGTTGAAATTAAGTAACAAGAAATTCATTTGAAAAGATTTAAATAAAAAGATAGTTAGATCTTTAATAGCACTACTGTAAAGGCTAGACCACTGAAAATAGATAGCAAGATCATAATACTTAGACAAGCAAAAATCTTTAAGTTGAAGAAATTTTGAAAGTACCACTAACTAGGCTACTGAAATGAACTAGAAAAAAAGAATATTAGGTTGACATAATATACCAATAGACTGGTTGTAGTCCTATATAGGTTTATAAAAATTTAAATTTGTATAAAATGTAAAAAATTTTTTTAGTTTTAAAAATATATAAAATCTTAAAGAAGCTTGAAGAATTTTTAATAATAAAAAAAATTTTTAAATAAACACTAAATTTTTAATGCATAAAAAATTTATTAATATTTTTAAAAAATTTTTATAATAAAATTAATAAAATATAGTTTTTTAGAATATATTTTATAAGCAATATATACTCCATATTATTAATAATTATTATTTTATTTAAAAAAATACAAATTCAATTTAATTTTCTAGGTAAATTTGTTTGAAATACAATTTAAGAAATAATATTGCTACTACTTTTTTTATAATTAGGTCTCTTTTTAAAAATTTCTATACCAAATTCATATCTGCACTTGAACTTTACTACAAAGCTTTTATTTAATTATAGCTTTTTTTTTAGATTACAGAAGCAAAATGCCTTTAGCCCAACTTGAACTATTAAGTTGTTATACGTATGTAACATGTTACGAATAATATTTAAATTACGTTTGTATTTACTATATTAAAATAGCTTTAAATGTCCTGTAACCTTATTTATTAATTCTATAGGACCTAATAAATAATTAAATATATTTATTATTATAATTAACAAATTTTATATAAATGTTTTGCTTTTTACCTGGACCAATTCCCATAACAGTTTTAGAGCCAGGATCAACTTGTGTATGGCCGGCATCCTGAATAATTCTCGCACACAACTTAAAACCTTTGGCTTTTTCTTCCAACAATAACCTAATTTTAATTATAATTAATTGATATAAAACTTATTAAAAATAAGCAGAATTAAAAAAAAAAAAAATAAACATACATTTCAGCTTCATCCTTAACCCTTAAAGCAATTTTAGGTTGACCAGAATACTCCCATGCTTTTAATAACTTTTTTTTTATAATATTCAAAGATTATATTACTATAAATAATTAATGATTAATAAATTATGTAGAGAAAAGCAAACCTTGGGATTTGTTCTTTTTAAATATTTATAACACGCCAAAGTCGCATGGGAACACTAATAAAATAAGAAAATTATAGCAGAGATTAGAAGAGAGTCTACCTAAAAAACAATAAAAATTGCGACTAACCTGCGCGGCAACTTTACCCTTTGTCATTCCAAGATCATTTCTGACCAATAATACCTTCAATGGACAAAGATAGATTAAGAGAATAGATAAAGAAATTTCGAAAATTTTCCAAAATCGGAAAGATAAAATTACTAATTTGAATTCATCATAATCATCAGGATTGATTTGAGAATTTCTGAATCGTGATGGATCTTTAATAGTTTTCAAGTCATCGGAATCATAATCATCGACTTTTTTATCTTGCTATTTCACAGAAACGACATGGTAAACAAATTGGTCAAAAAGACAAAAGGAACCGTAAGATACATTAATTTTGAAAGGAAAATGAAAATTTATTCATTACCGATATATTTGCATTTAGTTTACCCGCGGCATATCCACTAAAAAAACTAACTACAGCAATAACAACCGCCACCAAAAATTGGTAAAATGAGTCATTCCCAGGGTCCATTTGTAATTCTAATGTTAAAGGGTGAAACCTGTGTTTTTTTAGATTGCCTTTTTGGAATATACTCGTCTGCGTCCGTGACGCAAACTATATATGGAAATTAAAAGACTCGGGTAAAAGATAGGGTCGGTGATTATTAGAAAAAGGAGCCGTTTGCTATGTCTAAAACTGCTGCATTTCTGACACGTTTAATTAGTACCAAGGTCGACTTAGGTGCTCGTTATTTTCCGTTATCACTTTTATTCACTTTTTTTTCTCTCGTTCGTTGCATTTGCATATCGGATTTTATGCCGGACTGATCCGGATAGTGTCGAACTATTCCGGTACGCATCTTATTTTAGTACCTGTTTAATAACAGACAATGAATGGTTATAATGATTATGATTATCAAAGTACATACAATGAAGATATTTTTTGATGTGACACAACTTGTAATAATACTATATATATGTATATTAATTATACTGTTACCAAAAATAACAATTTTTTGCTGTCAATATATGTACGTATTAATTTATACTGTTGCCAAAAATAACGCTTAAAACCCTTTGCCGTCAACCGCAGTGATGATATGTATTACGGAAATTAAAACAATTAATAAATTTATAGTTATTCATAAAACATGATAATTTTTGAGATAGATTTGATGATTGGACAGTGGTGAAAAGTATTATTATATATTAATCATTGTGTCTTTAAGAATGTTGAAATACATTTTTCTCAAGTGCTTGTGATAATTATGAATGACGAGATATTATAATTTGACCATTTAGAGATTCTGTACAACATGTAAATACTTAAAGATAACAATTCTTTTAAGTTATTGAGTAAAATGTGTGATTGTTGTCTAAGATCAATCCGTTTTTCTTCTGAATAAAAAAAAAAAAAACAGATAATCGGTGCAAAAGCGTATTGTTGTAAATTCCATAATTTTGACAGGAACTATACCATAGGGCCCTACATCAATATTTGTTTGTTTGGGTAATTCGTGGAACAATAATTTTCGGTAAGAAATAACTGAAGAGGAAAATCTTAAGATTAGATCTTCATTTATCATTACCATTCCGTTTTTTCGATTAAGGTTATCTGGCTTTTTGCTTAATCTTAGGCATTGTCTGTTGTGTGTACCTTAAAAGGTGTTCCATAGCCCAACAAATAATCTTGTCTTTTGCATACACATGTCTTGAAGAGTATCGAGCAGACGGTGTCCATAGATAACTGGTTTTTTTCTTTGTACCCACAAAACATACGAATAAACTCTAACTTATCAGATGTATTTGAATTTTGATAAATTATTGACGTTACCTAAATGATATGTTTGGAAATCAGGGCTAAGACGGAAATAAAAAATACCCTGGGTTGTATATGCTTATCAAGGAAAACAAATTATTTTGTAAACTGATACAAATTAATGCTTTTTTTTTTTTTTGCTAATATAAAAGATGCCAGCAAAATCATCTAAATAAAATTAATAATCATCTTTTAATAATAATAATTAAAAAAAAAATGAGTGAATCAAGTGCAAGTTCAAAAATTTTACGTGATTACGATTCATGGCCGAATTATGGTGCAACGCCTATAGGTTAGTTATTTTCAAAAATAATGTGTTATAGTAATTATCTGAGTTATTCAGAAAAGTTTTAAATTTTAGCGATTACCGATGCGACACTCATCGAGACTGGTGATGTTAGAAGTACTTCTAACCATTCTAACCAAGAAACAAAAGGATCAAATTGGACCGCTTATGTTAATGTTGTGTAAGTCTCTAAAAGAAAAATGTAATTAGCCAATATCTTTAATAATTTTATATATTTTTAAACACAGGTGTCTGATAGCAGGATCGGGCACGCTCGGTATTCCATACGCGATTCAACAAGGTGGTTGGATTTCCCTAGCAGTCTTGTTCCTTTCCGCAACAATAAGTACTTACGCAAACATAAAATTAATCGAATGTTTATATCATGATGGGTATGCTTTCTTAATCTCTTCTACAGTTTATATCTATTATTGTTATTATCATAGAGCTTGGTATAATTGTAATTTCACTTTCTTAGCAAGATTCGAAAAAATTCAATGTCTGACTTGGCATATGACGCATTTGGCAATATTGGTTTACGTATCGTAGGGTTCTTCTTTGCTGCTATAAGTATAGGATGTCCTATTCTTTATCTAGTCCTAGCCGGTGATAGTCTACAACCTTTGTTTGTAAATATTGGAATTGACTTGGGTATGAAGAATTGGATCTACATTTGTTCTGCTGTTATGGCTGTGCCCTTTATATTTTTAAAAACTATGAAAGAGGCTGCTTGGTTAAGGTATTAGTCATTGTCACGTTCCTATTTCTTTTTTTTTTTTAATTAAAGCGAAATCTACTTTGTGAATTTTCATTAGTGTTTTTGGTGCATTAACAACTGCACTTGCCGTATTGGTCGTATTTATAACGTCTATGATGGAATTTCCTCAAAATATACCCATTCAACATGATTTGGTGAACTTTCGTGACATACCTCTTGCGATGGCAACTTTCAGTTTCAGCTATGCTGGAAATGTAGTTTTTCCTCATGTTGAAGCAAGGTAATTTTATTTTTCATCTTATGAATATATCATTATTAATGCATTATTCTCTTACAAAAGTTCACTAACTATTTAATATCGTTTCTAGCATGAAACATCCACGCTCATGGTCAAAAGTTTACATCTTTGCCATGTGTACTGTCACAATAATGTATCTATTAATTGGTATTCCTGCTTATATAACTTATGGTCATACGACTCTTTCTCCAATATACTTAAACCTCCCGCCGGGTTTTGCTGTGACAACTTCAATTTTAATGATGACAGCTCACGTCTTATTAGCTTTACCTATATATCAGACTGCTTTTAGTTTAGAAATAGAAAATTACATGGGTATTAATATTACAAATATTGGTAAAATTCGTGAATTCATCTATAGAGTTCTTTTAAGATTATTCATCGTGATAATTACAACTTATTTGGCTGTTACAATTCCTTATTTTTCTGATCTTATGGCTTTGTTGGGTGCTTCGGGTAATGGACTATTATTATCTATTATTCCAATTTTATTTTGGATAAAATTGTTTGGATGGAACCAATTAAAAGGGCGGAAGGAAAAATGTTGGGTAATTTTTGCTTTAATTTTTTCCTTTTATGGTTTTTTGGTTGGAACATTTGATGCATTGGTTGCATTGTGGTTGGATATTACTGGTGAAAGCGAAAGTGGCCAATAATGGTAATGGTAATGGTAATGGTATCGGTATCGGTATCGGTATGGTGCATGTACTAACTTATAAAAAAAGTCATATGACGACTAGAATAGTTTCCAATTATACATATAAAATAAAAATAATAAAAATTCTGTAAATCGATTTCTTAGAACCCTACAAGTTTACGGTTATTTTTTATTATAATTACTAAATTATTACTTACCAAATTTTGAGTACTTCTACACCATTGGAATTTAAAAACCATATGTAGTGGTCGGTTCTAAAGATTAGAGCTATATGTACAGTGGCAATCATAAATAATGGAGCAAAAAAAAAAAAAAGGGTCGATCGTAGTATTTCGCGCAATTCGGGATGAATTCTTGATATTTTTTTTATTAAATTCGCAAATTGTATCCTTTTTCAATGTTAGAATTTTAAAAGTTATTATTTCCAATGCAAAGATAATTGCGCATGTATCACAAAATAGGTGATGCATTATTTTTGATCGTTTTTGACAAAGATCAAAACGCATGATCTGTGAAATATAAATACATATAAAAGTAAATTCCTTGTTAATGATTGCATCTTGTGCAATGTTAGAATTAATTAATAATCAAAAAAAAAAGAGACATATAACTCTGCTTAAAGAGTTTATGTATTACTTTCACTTCAGAAAGGATACACTACAAAGCAGATAGGTCAGACCTGTAATGTTTCTTTTTTTACAGTCTCATGAATAAGTCAAAAGTAATCAAAACATCATATGCTTGAAGATTTTGAAAAGGTTGGTCTCCCATCAAAAGTAACTGAATTAACCCAAAAAAGGATTATAAATTTAGTTATCTCTTATCAATACTCTAATGCAATGCAAATATGATTTTACCTAAAAATAAATAAAAACCTTGAAATTTTTAAGATTACTGTTTGTTATATACTCTGTAGTTATGGTTTAGTATCAGAAATTAAGAAGAAAAAACCTTATCTAAGTAAATATAATTAAAAAGAACAATACAAATTTACAAAAAAAATAAAAATTGGATCATTGAAGACTGGTCAAAAATAATTTGGTCTGATGAGTTAAAGTTTTAAATTTTTAGATCAGATAAAAAGCAGTACTATTGAAAACATTTTGAAAAGTTATTAAACCAGTTTTATATTAAAGTTACAGTAAAGTTTGAAGATAGTTTAGTAATAATTTAGACTTATTTTATCTTTTATAGTATTAGTGATCTTTGTAAAATTAACATTATTTTTTTTTTTTTTTGAACTTTGGTAACAATGTCAGTTAGTTTATTAGTTTTAATTTGATATAGTACAAATTTACAGTTATATTTTTAGGATCGATTATTACTAGTGCTATATACTATCTAATTTTACACTACTGACTTTACCTGATTATTCATATGGTACCTAATTGCATGTTCGTCGTATGTCTGTATACAATTATCTTAACAATCCCTTGTAGTCAGGACACACCATTAAACCACTACACAAACAAGGATATCTACCAAACTTAATATAGTATTACAAATGCCAGAGGTACTGTCTTCTGTAAATTGTACCTATATGTCCCACTCACATGTTTTATCTGGTCTTGTTTTTTCTGTCTCTTAATTTAACTATATCTAATATTACTTTATTCTTCACATTTTTCATCTTTTTATTACTGTACTACTCCCAAATTGGTCCTGCTCAGGTATGTTTAATCTTTATGATCTTTTCATCTTTGATATGCCTATTATTGATTCTTCTAAGATATTCTGACAATAGTTCAAGATCTGCAAAGAACCTGTATCTCAAGTCAGATCTGCTGCCACCATTGGTCTTTTTGACCAATCTGTATCTCAAGTCAGATCTGCTACTGATATTTTTGCAGATATCTCAGGTCTTAACGTCATATAGTAACTCAATGCTACATTTAACCTCCAACATAGTGTTCTCTTTTATAATAGAGAGTATGATTTGTTATGATTACAAACAGGACAATTCGAGGGTGTGGCAACCTAGTGAAGTGGTCAGGTTGTCAACCCTCCAAGTGGTAGGTTGGGTGTTCAAATCTTATTGATGACGAAAATTTGGATAATCATTTATATAATATTCATATTATGGCAACTGTTACTAACAATTGGGTTAGGATACCTGTAATAGTGGTCGCACCAGCATAACTGGTAGGTCATGGGGTATTTGTGTAACAGGTCACATGACATTGTTCTTTGGAACAAGGTTGTGGTTACATGAAGAAATGCAAACTGGCAATAAGTGATACAAACACTAGATAAGTTCTTGTGGCCGTGTAAATCCGTTGAAATTGGGTAACAAGAAGTCCATTTGAGAAGACCTAAGTAAAGAGGTAACCAGATCTTCGACAGCCCTACTGTAAAGGCTAGCCTTATGAAATGGATACCAAGGTCGAATTAGCCAGACAGGCAAAAACCTTTAGATAGGGGGTATTACCAACCAGGCTACCAGATCGAGCCAGAAAAAAAGGATATTAGGCTGACCTGATATACTAATGGACCAGTTGTAAGTCCTATGAGGCTATCTGGATTGGGAGTTTGGTAAACTGGCAGGAGTATACTAACGTATTTCAGATATGCTGTGAAGTAGAGGCTAGGGTTTGTGTG